TTTAGTGCTTAGCCGTGACAAAAGAAGTTGATGGAGCTATATTCGTATTTAAATTTATTATTGGAGCTATAGAGGAACCAAATTGTTCTGTAGAATCATTGCTGATTTATTCTAGACATGTTTGAACAATGGGTGTCGGCACTAACTCTATCAGTGACATAGGTTTACAAGGTAAATCAGTGTCACGAAAGAGGTCTACATACTTTATTACAATGACGATATAACCACTTTTATTAGAATATTTAAGGTACTTGTGTTTCATTTAATAATGAATGAAATCAGCCTTCGTGCTACATTTAATATTTTGATTTTTTTGTCTTAAAATAATTTATTAATTACAATATGGATTAAGAAATGTTTGCGCTGTGTTCTGTGAAAACGAAAACGATATCAAAATCGCATTTATACCACGAATTGATAACATTCGATAACTAGTTCTCCATACTTTCGCAAACACTTGATAGTCACGCTCGGATTTTTCCATCCATTTTAGCTCCCTAAATATTTTCAAACATAAGACATATTCGTAGGTAACTATTATTTTTTCTCGTTGGATCGCTAAACTAAGATTCTATGGATGTTTCACATCGTGTATGCCGTTCAGAAAAATGTTTCGTTTAATCATCATTGCCAGTTATCTAGACATTCGACTGAAGGATGCATTTATATTTTCACTTCACAGAAATGTTGTGTCTCATATATGATACGTTATCGTTTTATGACATGACCGGCAGGGCATCAAAAGGCTTAAGTATAGTCCAATAAGTGCCTAGTTGTCACTGGCCAACTGGGAATAACGACCAAGGAGTTCCATTACCCTGAGAGCGAAACTCCTTAGTGGTGTGGTATTTTATTGCTGTCATCGCTCTTTAATTCCCAGAGTAGGGAAAGGAATTTGAAACGTGGGGAAAGCCTGTGCTAGATAGGTCAAAAGGTTTATGTAAATATGTACCTAGTTCCGATCTGCAAAATTCCCGTCCCGTCATAGAATATTATCGTTCTGAATAGATAATAAATACGGTGACTTTTACTTAAGTACTTAGTTTAAAGAAAACACGCCTGAGAAAATCTTATTTATTATAACTTCTCAAGCAAATTTTACAAATAAAGTAAACTATAGACACAGAATTTGTTAATATCTACGTATTAGGTATCTTTATAGCTTTTTCTGATTTCTTGGTTTCGTGATAGCTATAACTAGATATTTAACTAGGTCGTATTAGGAACTCTTTAAGCAGGTATATCATAAAATGGAAGAACGATTTGATTGTAGTCGTAGCACTATCTTAACTATCTCAAGTAATCAGTAAAATACCGAAACCTTGAAGCTCGTTATATCATAAATAGATAAAAGTTAATTTAACGAGGAAAAATGTTAGCTGTCGCTGTTTATATAAAACTCAAGTGTCAACGATATCTACAGGTAGGTAAAACTAACATAAATAGTGTTATTTACACTGCGGTCTGAGACGTCAGAAGTACGTAACATATTGTTAAAAGTAATTTAAAAAACTGATAAAGGAAAATGGAAAAGTAGGCGGGTGTAACATTCATATATTCATACCATAACACATGAGATTTTTTAATAGTCCCGTTGATTTAATATGTAAGTAAGTATTTTTTCCGTTAGGTTGGTTTTTGTTAATTTACTTGGGTATCTATTAATTAAGTGTTACCAATTCTATTGATCAGACGTTTTTCACCAGATTTTATGAATCTAAATGGCTTGCTGGACCAGCGTTTGTTGATTAAATTGTGTTTCGAATAGGCTATTAATATATACACAAAAGAAGAATAATTTAATAAGGAGGATTGACAATTGAATAAGGAAACTGAAAATCTTTGTACCTTTGAAAACCTTTGACGAATTTTCCGGCAAACTAACACAAACTTCAAAGAATTCATAACAATATAGTAACATGATTCACTTCCTCCATTTATTTTACCGAAAAACGCTAAATGTTCGAGTTTGTTTATGTTAAAACTATTGAGAATTTCGATTGGGAATTTCTTAATCAAAACTAAAATAGATTTTCATAGAAGTTCACTTGTGTTACTATATCTACAAGGTTAGTTGTTCTTAGTTCATAGAAAAGGTTAGTGTAAAATGATTCATTTGGTTGTTATTTTTGTTGGTGTAATGGACAGTAATATTTATGAAAGGAGGTATGTAATTGGCTTAGGTAGGTTACGTCATGGCGCTTCATGCGTTAGTGCTGTTTCGATGTAAGAATTGTATACTTATATTAATGTATAACTGCCGAAAAAACTGCAGTTCAGATGTAGGTACGCTTAAAGATTTTGAAAAATTATTTTTTTATCCTCAATTACTGTAAAACGGGGTGAAAAGAGACAGAAGAGAAGTGAATAAATACTAGATTCGTTAACCTCTATTCACCCCTTTCGTGTAAGTTTTACGCTAAATTGTAATCCAATGTTTTTTAATGATTAGGTAAGTATGTGAATCAAAGTGCTAATGCGTTATCGTAATCCTCTACTTGTGTCTACCTCCTAAATTAACCGTTCACCTAAGCAAATACAACATAAGCACTAAAAATAGATTCGTGCATTTCAATGTGACCCCGCGTCATTACCTACTCATAGTCATACATATACAAGGTAGAGTTCGCAGAAATTTTGCATCTGTGGTTTATTTGTTGACCACAGTCAATAGTTGATCGTAAGGGGTCGTTGTTAGGCAATATATTACCAATTACAACAAGAAATAACTAGTAACCTAGTCTTATTTACGATTAGAAATTCTGGCTAAATCATATCTGTGCCATCATTTCTGGGATTACATTAGCCAGAAGTGGCAGAACACTAGTGCGGGGCAATAATTGAGCCAGATGTTCGCTGAGTTACCTACTTTGCTAACCACTGACATAAATAAATTAAATTGAAATAGTAATTCGATTAGCTATTAACTACTTACCGCGCATATAAATTTAATCTCTATGGTTTGGATTTGAACATTTTCGTTTTGTGTTTTTCTTTTTAATTTTAAATTTGTAAACAAAACACCTGACCTGGCCAGTTTTTCAAACTAAATTAACTGGGGCAAAGAAGTATTTATTACTTTCCCAAGGCCTTCAAAATAACAATGATACAACTTATATTATGATATTATAAAAAATATTTCTGAATGCCAGTTATAAATTGAAATGAGAAAGCGTAACAAAAATTTTAAATAAGAAGCCGACTTGTGTTATTGCTACGTGTGTTTTAAAACAAGTTTCTTTTGTTGATAAGCCAACAAAATGTCTGGACGAGTCATTGACTCCTGCTGTGTATTTTCATTTCATGCATTTATGTATGAATATTGATGTAAGATTTAAAATATGTATATTACACATAACTGCATAAAGTCCAAAGACCAAATTGTGGTTGCATGTTTGGAAGATATTACGTATCCAACTATAAAAGAGGTTACTTGAAGAAACATGGCTGATTTTATAGTAAGATCTCGACTTACAAGTATTTATAAAATAGCCAAGGCGGTGAGTGGACTGAATTAATCAGAATAATTTAGATAATGTAGTAATTTATTCTTTTTTTCCGTTCTCAGATTAGCTAACAAAATCGCAAAAAAAATAGTTAGTTATGCAAAAATATAAAGGAAACTAAATTCGTATTTTCTTACGTAAATTAGGCTAAAAGCTGCTCATAACTAAATACCTACCTACCTCATTAGTTACCTGTCAGACGAATTAATTAATCGTAGTCAATGAGATAATTAATAAGTAAGATTGTGTCATTGTGCCAATAAGGTGACAAAAAAAAAGAAGATAGCTCCAAGACTTAAATTACATTTTACGTAAAACTATTTTATAATAAGAGCTACACTATTCTCGTAATGTACCTACCTGCTTAGTAACGGTCTTGGCCAAGGTCGATCCTATTATTATTATTTTGGTCATAGAGAAGCGCCACAGATTACTAAGCTGCGCTGCTGCGGTGGAAGTTTCCTTTGTAATGTAATCAATCTTAACAATTCGTTGTTTAAACTTATTTTTAAACCATTTCCAAAGACAAGTATATATATTTATGTCTTATTGCTGAAATATTATGAAGCCTACAAAAAAAAAGTTGATAGGTAGATGTAGCTTGTGGTACCTATTCTTCAGTCTAGTTTAATAGCTAAAGAAAAACTTTAATTGGAACGAGTTAATCACTGCTAATCAGAGCGTGGAAGTAAAGAACTCTTGGTTCAGTTATGTTAAGTGTAGCGCACTACTGCTTCTGTGCAACTTGGATATCGTCTTGGCATTATTTACTAGATTCTTATCTTAGATTTACGAAAACAAAAATGTAAGTATGTGTAACTAATAATATTACCTACATTTAAAAGATAGACGACCTGTAAATTTTTATTTCGAGACATTTTGAATCAACTAGTAGATAGGTAACTGTAAGTATATAGTTTATATGGAAACTAAGTATCTGCTCGCCATCTCTCTGGAAAATCTAACTTAGGACATCTAAGTAGCTACGGCGACTACGGCATCTACCACCTTGACCAGGATGCAACCAATCGCCTGTAGATACGTATTAGGAAGATATACGTTGTACCTATTAGATACCTACTGTTCTAAGCTATCTACTATCTATTTATATCACGTAGGTACCTAATATTAGACTAGACTAACTTATAGAATTGTGTCAAATTTCGCATTTTGCAAAAGTAACTTCAACATTTTCTTTGTTTGTCAGTTGCATTGGTACCATCGCAGGTAATTATATTGTACGTTATCTTTAAACATTGTTTGTGGCGCCAGTAATAACAAAACACATTACTTTTTTGTATATCACAAACTGCAGCTAACGATACGATCGCTTGCCAGACGATAATTCTACCGGTAATCACTCATTATCTTCTCAAATCAGGGTCGTTCACGATAAGTCACGCAGCTGGCCGGCCTACGGAGCGCTCATGTCTTTGTTTTTATCTAAAGCATTCTAGTTTCTGAGTAGGAACTTATACTGAATCATTGACTCACCATTGAATGTGTCGTATGCCGTAGGCTGATAGTCTTCCCGGAATGTATCCTGCGCGTATGCCGCTATCAACGAGCTCTTTCCTACAGCTCCGTCACCCACCAACACACACTTTATCTTCTCTTTTTTTCCACCTTTCACCTTCCTTCTGTCTTTAATTTGAAACATGCGGTTCAAAGTCCGTCTGCTCTTTTTATCCCTGACCGCCCACTCGTTCACTTTATCACAGCAATTCAAGTCTTCAGACACATCGTCTCGTATCACAGTGCGGCCATTCTCTTCAGCCACTTCGGAGTAGTCGTAGTCGTCTTCATCCCGCCGTGAAATCGGGAACTGGCTTGGACTGTGCACACCGAACACGAACGGCCCGTCTCTCTCGGGCACACGGGCAGCGAACCCGTTCGCCGGAGTCGGGGGCTTCGCATAATGCACTACCGGTGCACGGTACTGACTCGTAAGATACTCGTCAGACGCCTGTGGATCGAACCTGAACACGAGCTCCGCTTCTCTACGGTCCAGACTTAGATCTGGAGCTGTTACTTTGTCTTGAAAGTATCCAACTTTCTCGCGTGCCCTTGTCTCGTGTAGCCGCCTTTCGAGTTCGACGTTCGATGGTTTCCAATAATCTGGTCGGTATTCGTAGGAATATTCTGTAGGCAGGTTCCTGGGCGCAGGCAAGGGCCGGTGCGGGCCAGTGTCGCGGGGAGGTGCGCGTGGTGGGACCATTAGAGGCTTTTGCGGTTCCGCCAACAACGGCCGGCGCGCCGACAGGTTCGTGTTTCGGTTGAACATGATCCCTTCTAAACTGGGAGACATTTGCACTGTCACGACTGGCTGTCAACAAACGGTTTACCGAGGTGTGCGTTTGCGCACATTACTTGCACGATGTAATCGAAATATATCGCGGTTTGTGGAGCGCGCGGACGCGAGCAGCGACGTGCAGTCACCGCGGAGAACAGTACGCGACTGTCTCGGGGACGGCGGCCGGTAGCCGCGCTCCCCTCGCCCGGAGAAATGACCTGTTGCTTCTGTTACCTGTTCAGGTACAAGCTACCGTTTCGCGAGCAAAGCGCAGCTGCTGCCCATGAACAAAGCCATCATATGGCGTTGCCAGCCGTCTTGCTAGCACCGCAAGGAAATTCATTCACGACATTCATACAACGATGAATGAAACACGAGCGACGTGTTTTGTTTACCTACCTAATGTTCGATGTTTACTTATTTGATATTCCACAACCACAATAGATTTTGGCAGGTAAAATAACTACGTACCCGAGTTAAATAATAATTAGGTATTCTGTTATGTATATAAGTTCTATCTGATAGCAAAGAAATAGGTAGGTAGGTTACTGAGTTCAGAAGCACTCTATAATCCAACGCAATGCAACTTTCATTTATCTTTGAGATTCTGCAAACTCTCAATTTATTCCTAATACTTAACAACTAATTACGAAAATATTGATCATTTTTCCATGACTTTATAGTTTATCAATACTACGGTACTGCAACAGATCTGCAGTCAATTTCAATAACCGACTGCCGTTATTGAAAGTTTCAAAATAAATACCTGTAGGTACCTGACGAGTATATAATTACGACGTAGTACGTCATACTCCTAAGTTCACGTTTCACTACAACAGACTAGTGATAGTTGCCAGCCAAGACGCAAAATTATGTAGGTACGAGATTTATTATCAAGAGAGCTCTACCAACGTTATATAAAAATACAGAGTTTAATTTAATTAAAATAATTTCATCAAAAATAAACATCGTCAATGAAAATAATATTATTTTATCTATGATGTCAAAATGACATTGACAGGCACGTGTTTTCATTTTGACATTTCTATGACAGATGCCATGCTGCAATGTGGTTCGATTAGAGTTCGATTTCTTGACATTTCTAGCATTGAAATAAGACATAGAAAGAGAAGCAATATTTAAACAACTGAGAAAAGAACAGAGAGAGAAATAGGATAAGTAATGCTTAAAACGGAACTTTATATCTTGAAATAATATTGTGTCAAAAACAAACTGTCAAATTGAACTCAGGCATGGTTATGTCCGGCCGAGTTTCTTGAATTATATTTATGTAAAATATATTTCATATTTCTTAGCATAGTTCTTTGTGTAAAAGAAAGTACATTTGTATCAACATGGCAAAGTTTAAGTTGAGTAAGTACTAACCAATATTTATATTATATTGCGAAAGCATGTGTTGTTGCTATGAAATTATTAACTTTAAAACAAAACTTATCCTTAATTCGTTATAAAATGGCATTTTTAGAAAAAAATACTAACTATGAGTAAGATAATCTATCTACTAATCAGCTAACAGTATAAACTACTAATAGTAGCATGTAAACTAAAAAACTGAAAGATAAGTGTTGCACAATATTAGTATTTACTTTAGCATAAATTCACTTCAATCTGTAGCTGTTGTGCAAAACGAATATAAATTAACTTCAGTTTAGTAAACATACTTAAACATAGTTTAGTAATCAATTGTTTACAAACAACAAAATTTACTAAACTTAACCTCAACTATTTTTAGAAAAACCATCAAAGAGGCAGCCAGCTCGTCTCCGTTACAAAATAGAAAAGAAAGTAAAAGAACACAACAGAAAGTTAAAGAAAGAAAACAAGAAGAATCCAAAATCAAAGAAGGCCAAGCCTATACAGATCCCAAATGGATGTCCGTTCAAGGATGATATTTTGAAAGAAGTAGAAGCTGTCAAAAAGCACAAGGAGGAAGAAAGACAGAAGAAGAGAGAGTTAGCAAAACTTGAGAAACAAAAGAAAATGGAAGAGAAGAAAAGCAGTAATGTCAGTATGGGATCATTGGTAAGTCATTTTGATAGTAATTAATCTTAGAGAATTTTCTGTTTATGTTCAAGCCACTGTAAAGTCAGCTACTGAGATATCTTATCATTCATCATTGAACATTCTTCATCTGAACGGCTTAGAAGTATATGACTTAATAATGTAATTTTTATTTAAACATTCATCTCATAATTGTCTTATCTTTTTAAATGGCAATGAGCAGATATATTTCATGATGGTAAGCAAATGACACTATTCATAGATACCTGCAACATTACAGAAGTTTAAAATGTGTTGCCAGCATTTTGGACATTATGGTTTAGGATGTTTAGGCTAATATTATTTTTTCCTAATTTCTCTGTTATAATTAATGTGATGTACAAAAAGTAACAGCTGTCAACAAGATATTTCTTAATATATAATAATAATAATTTATTAATATAATAAATAATTTTAACACAATATTTTATACTAGCTTTTGCCTGGGACTCCTTTTGCGTGGAATAGTCACTTTTTGCAGGTTTTTAGTTGGGTCGCATTTTAATATTAGTATAGTATAGATTAGTTCACACTCCATATTTCCACCTCAAAATAACAAAAAATTGTTCATATATTACAGGTAGAAAATGCACAAGCTAGAGGTAAAGTCCATGATGCCTTCAAAGGGGATGAGCCCACAGATGACATAGAGTTTGGTAAAGATAGGAAACAGGAGAACTCGCTCAAGACCTTCTACAGAGAGTTCAAAAAGGTTATATCAGAGGCTGAAGTCATTCTGGAAGTAGTTGATGCCAGAGATCCACTTGGTAAGTAGTTTTAGCAACGGAGGACTTACGAGTTCGTTGCTGGCCTTTTAGGGATTTGGAGATTTAGGGATTGTAAAGGGATTGGGGGAGACTCACACGGCGAAATACAAAGCTGTGGTTGTTTCACGGTTTTCTGTGAGGCCGTGGTATCACTCTCCCACACTTGTTATTTCTAATATGTTTTAGTTGCTGAATTACAACTCAATCATTATTTTTCTCTTCTGATAAGTTGGCTAACAAGCATATGGATTACCTGACGGTGAGCAACTGACACTGGGAAAGCTGTGCTGATAATTGGAAATACAGAGCCTCACTTCTTGAACTTCTATCACATTTCTGTCAGGCAAGCAAAGCTATAATTCCTATAAACTAATGTTCCAGGCACCCGTTGTTCACAAGTAGAGGAGGCTGTCCGTGATGCAGGCAAGCGTCTGGTCCTAGTGCTGAACAAAGCAGACTTAGTACCTCGTTCCAACCTAGAAGCATGGCTGAAGTATCTTCGTAGAACAGCCCCAGCTGTACCATTCAAGGCTTCCACACAAGACCAGCAGCACAACTTAGGAACGAGGAAAATGAAACATGTTGTTAAGGAGAAACAAATGAAAGGTATGTGCGGTTTTTTTTTGTTGGCATTTGATTAACTTTTCTGTTTTTAGTTTCAGTTATTCAAGGTAATAAATTGTTTTATTACTGTGCAACTTTTTATAATTGTTAATTCTTTTTTTGCACTTTTGTTAAACTTTTATGAACAATTTATTTTTTAATTTGGAACACTGCTTACTTGAGCTACTAAATTAATTTGCTTACATATTTCGAAAACGGAATCATCAAATTAAAGCTTTCCATTCTACAGCATTCTTTTAATTATTTAATTTTAATTTTATACTATTCTCATTGAACACAGGCTATAAGCACACCTATGTTAATTATTTTTCTGTTACATAAATGATACTCACTTTTTAAATACTTTAAAAATCTCCTTTTATCCCCAGGATCAGCTTGTGTAGGAGCAGAACTAGTAATGAGCCTCCTAGGCAATTACTGTCGCAACAAAGGTATCAAGACATCGATTACAGTGGGTGTGGTTGGCCTACCCAACGTCGGCAAGAGTTCCATCATTAACAGCTTGAACAGGTCCAAAGCCTGCAATGTTGGCAGCACTCCTGGAGTTACCAAGTAAGTTGTATTGATTATAAGGTCAATTTACACCGAGAGACGCGCTAAGACGATATGGTCAGAGTTCAGAAAAGCGTCCGCCGCTAGACACACCGTATGAAATTTATATCTTGTGGTGTGCAATATAAAGTTGCTTTTTGAATCGATCCTTCAAAGTGTTGTTGTGTTGTGGACTGCCCCTTAGTTTCTTGGAATGTGTTTAACACAAAAACTGGGGAATTTTCTCAAACATTTTGATTTTGAAACGTGTGTCGTTTAGTACGTACGTATCACGTAGTGATATGAATCAATACGTGATATGTACGTACTAAAGTTTGCCAGGATATAAAATGTATTTATTTATTAGTATAAGTAAAATGTATTTATTTTTTAGTATACTTATACTAATAAATAAATACATTTTATATTATAAGTGGTCAAAGTCAACTAAGCAAGATGTGCTAGCGCAATAATGTAGCTGAATGTGCAAGAGAACAAATGAGTTGGATTTTAGTCAGCGAGAGTCTGACGTTCCTTTTCGCCTCACTTGGGGAAGGAGAAAATATTGAGCGACTTTTCCCATCATTAAAAAAGGGTAGAAGGCAAGACATTAGGTCACCAACTCTTCACAATCAAAGGATCTTGATCTTTATAACACCATAATTCTTTTTATAATTCCAGACAAATGCAAACAGTACAGTTGGACTCGAAGATCAAAATCCTGGACAGTCCTGGTATAGTGTTCCAATCTGGTCCAGAGAGCGACTCGTCGGTGGCGCTGAAGAATGCAGTGCGCGTGGGCAGTCTCAAGGACCCCGTCACTCCGGCCACTGCTATACTGCAACGTGCGAACAAACATACACTCACTGAGTTATACAGTATTCCGGAGTTTAATACACCTCAGGTCAGTCTTAATCTAAAGAGAATGTACTTCATAACTTACTATAGTGACCAACATCAGCCCTATAGAATTCAATCTGTGGTGGTCTATTGGTTCTTTGAGACGCGCGCGGAACGCTACGCGCCGTACTCTCGGGTATGATTCTGGTCGGGCGGCGAGCTACCCTTACTCGCCGTCCGCAGACCCGCGCTTACGGTGGCCGGAGATCGCCTTCGCAAGGTTGCAATGGTGATACTAATTTTCTCCACTATTTCATGGATGATTTCAGGAATTCTTCGCGCACCTAGCGTCCCGTATGGGCAGGTTCAAGAAGGGCGGAGTGCCCGACCAGGAGTCTGCTGCAAGGATACTACTCAACGACTGGAATACTGGCAAAGTACGGTTTAACACATTACTTATTACGCGGGGATCTGCGCTCGCCATATCACGGGTTAAATAATGTCTGTTAATAAAATTTTTTATTTTAGAAAATTCGTAGGTTTGGAATGTCCTCAAGAGACTCGCCATCTTAACTGGATATGACATTTAAAAATATCCTTACTAATATTATAAAACTGTAGAGTTTGTTTGTTTGAATACGCTAATCTCCGAAACGAATTTTTCGAATTGAACAATTATTTTTAAATCGAGGAAGGAATAGGTATAAAACATCATTCTAAGGCCTGCAGGAGCCGAGCAGCTGGTGAAACCACGCGAGAAAAACTAGATCAAAGATTAAAAGTTCTTGACAATATTTAAAAGTAATATTATTTTTTCCTACAACCAGGTCAGGTATTTCACATTGCCACCCGAAACACCAGAGTCTGACATTCACGTAGACGCCAAGATAGTGTCGACCATAGCTGCAGAGTTCGATATCAACTCCTTTGAGGCCATGGAGACGGAAGCCATCAACGAACTGGCTGCTCACGATACTGGAGTCGAAGCTATCAAGGTAATGTACCTTTTAATATATATTTCTGTTTGAATTTCAGTATTTATTTTCATAATTGTCTACTGTTTTGGTTTTTTGGTATCTGATTACCCATGAAGAGTCATATGCACACAAGGCGGTCCATAAGAGATTTGCATCCGACATGCGTGAATGCGTGACTTGACTTCACGTCGTTTAAATATATGACTACTGTGATTGGTTAATAAAAAAAAAAGTTCTATAGACAAAAATACGCAATAATTATGACCTATATTCTCAGCTTTGTTATGGAGTATAGTTTATTACACATGATTATGGAATGGGACATACAAGTATCGACATGTTTTATAACTTAATGAAAAAAAGCAATAATAATTTCTCAAGCAGCTGCGGCTCCATGGGTTAATTGCACTTGACGTTCAGTATTATTTATTTCCAAAGCTATGATAAAACTGGACGTGTGTGTAGTGGCATCTTTGTAGTACTTAACCATGTCCATACTTAATGCACAATTGGCGTATTTATAGTATTTACATTTGTTATGAACATTTGTCTAATCTTTTGAAGAATGACTAGTAAACACCTACAAGTACTTATAATCTCTTTTCTTTCTTACAGATGACAAGCACAGGTCCTGTCAAAGCAGCCTTAGAAGATGATATGCAAGTCGACGAAGAAGAGTCTTTACTCCCAAAATCAGTTAGTATAGGCTCAAGAATAAATAAAAAGAACAAACCTAAAGAGAAACAGAAAGAGAAGGAAGACCCTGAAATGCTCATTGAAGGCAATACCAAACAAAATTTACTAAGGAAGAAACAATTTAAAAAAGATAAAAAGAAGAAAGCAAGGAATGACAAACAAGCTGTCAACTTAGCGAATGTTCTAGAAAATGTTACTATCACCAACTTCAAGAAGAAAGATGACTACGATTTCAAAGAAGACTTTTCTCTATAAATAGTCTTAAGTTGTGATTTGTAATATTATAAAAAAAACTACGTTTAAAAAAACCGACTTCAAAAACAAAAAAGTGTCAAATAATTAAAATTGATATTTTAATAGCACTCTTACGTACGCGAAGCTAATACTTTTAATATTAATAATAAAACACTATCAACTCTATGTGCTACCTATTCATAGGTTTAAAGTCGGCGCCAAGCCTAATACATAATATTATAAGCATTTGATTGATGGCCTTAGCGTAGAATCAGAAGTCTATATTGTTTCGTTACATGCGAAATTATATATAGCTTAGAAAGATATTCGGGTGAAATATGAATTCTAAAAGTTTTCTCGTACTTAACGTAACTCGTGGGTTGTTAAAAGTAGTAGTAGTTAGGTTCGTTGTTGGTTTTGGAAATTTCGTCCTTTAGCAGTTAAACAGTCTTAATTCTCATTTAGTTTTATTCTGTTTAGGGCTTGGCACCGACTTCAAACCTATGAATAGGTAGCACATAGAATTGATAGTGTTTTATTATTAATATTAAAAGTATTAGCTTCGCGTACGTAAGAGTGCTATTAAAATATCAATTTTAATTATTTGACACTTTTTTGTTTTTGAAGTCGGTTTTTTTAAACGTAGTTTTTTTTATTTTTTACTTTTTAGTGTCTGTTACAAGTTCTTCTGTAAACTACAGTAACATTTTAAATATAAATTAACATATTGAATAGTATATATATTTTTAAGTAGCTATGTGTAGGCCTGCGAAAGGAGCCGCTCTATTAAAAAATATAGATCCCAAGAAATGGGAAAGTTCTCATCATCATCATCAGCCTTTTTAATGTTCCCACTACTGGGTCACAAGCCACCTCTCTAGGAGAGGGAAAGCTCTTATCAATATAAACAAATTAAGTCCAAACACGAGGTCGCTACTGTAAACCGTTGAGGAGTTCCCTAGACTGTCCTTCGTCTTGATCTCTAATGATAGTCACAATCCATCTAGATGTAAAGTTATTATCAAACCCAATTAATTAAGCTCAAACACAAGGAAGCTGCTATGAATCGTTGAGGAATTCCCTCGACTGTCAATGGTCTCCATCGTCAGGTACACTGCAGACCTTCAGTTGTTATAATCCATACAGGTACAAAGTTTTCATCAACATAAATGAATTAAGTTCAAACACGAAGTAGTTACTGTACACCGTTCAGGAGTTCCCTGAGCTGTCCTTCGTTCTCATCATCAGACCCTTAATGATAGTTACAGATGTGCAAAGTGCTCGCCAATACGAATCATTCAAGCCCAAACACAAGGCAACTGCTCCAAATAGTCAAGGAGATCCCTCGACTGTCTTCCAGCTCCAACATCTGGTCGACTTCGACCTTCGTCAAGTTGTAGTGTTGTTAAAGGCCTACTTAAACATCATACAAAAAAACTACTCGCCCCTACAATTTTCGAAAGTTCCCCTCGGTTTCTCCAGGATTCCATCATCAGGTCCTGACCTCATGACAATGGGACCAAATGGCAAGTATACCCTATCGAATAAAAAAAAATTTTGCAAATCGGTCCAGGCGTCTTCGAGTAATCGGTGTACATACATAAAAAAAAAAAAAAAAAAAAAATACTCGTCGAATTGAGAACCTCCTCCTTTTTTTGAAGTCGGTTAAAAATCATATTTTGTTGTAACCTTCATTAAGGTTAAGCTGGAGAGTGTATTAAGATACAAAGTCTGTTCAATAAAATATTATTGAAGCAATTATAAGTATAATTTTATTCGAAAATTCTCAGTGAGTCATATTTATCACCACAGCGGCTATTCCGCCACGTTAGAGATCCTAACTTATGTAGTACATAATTCATACAACTTACGTTCTATATTTAAATTTATCTGATGTAGCCGCTATGGCTACTCAGACACTGAAATAGCCCTCAGGCTATTGCCTCAGATCGGAGTGATATCATGGCCCCACAGAAAACCAGTGTGAGAATGATCGCAGCGTTGTGTTTTGGCCGTGTGAGGTTACAGGACGCCCAATATTTCTCCTACATTCCCAAAATCTCCAATACCAATTGCCGTCAACACAATACGGTAGTTTCCAACTAGTCAAATTCAATACTTTTATCCAAATGTCAAAAACGATAGTTTTCTATGAAATTTGTATGAAAAACTGAGGTATAACCGTCTAAACAGTTTTGCGTCAAAAAGCTAACTTATTTCTGAATAATGAGCTAAAAAAATCTAAAACTTAGTGTATCGATCGATCGATGAATAAAAGTATAGCTATTTTTCAATATTTTATTGTAATAAAAGGTCGAATTAATTTATTTTTGACCTAGGACACTACCCAATTGTGACTCCTCTGGGATTAGGTACCTACCGCCATTTTGGTACCTAGGAGGTAACGGGCATATAGGTAAATATGTTTTCAACAATGATTTTGTTTTAGGTATTAAATAAAATATTTTCGATTTTTCGTGACATTATTTATTGCAGTCGGTTCACAGATCAGAGGATTATTCTACAGACAAACTGAACTAAAATATTTTAATTTTACGATAAAATTTCACGTCGTATTTCACCAGTCTGATGAGCAGTCCTAATGGCACTTGTTTGTAAAGCTGTTTCTCAAGGACACATCGAATATAAAAGTGCATAATTTAGTCAATTTACTGGAAAGTATTTTTTATGTACCTACCTATCTTTTTTAAACTTGTCAAGTATAGGTACCTACAGTCAACACAAATATTATTAAGTAACTATGATATACTTAATTTGTGTTTTGTAGGTTGATTATTAACTTTAATAGGTTGATTATACAATACCTAATGGCAAGTCCTAGGCGCTTATTAGATCGATTCTAATTTAATGTATTTTTCTTTCGATTAATGCCAATTTAGTTACACACTTTAGAACGAGTTTCATTGGAGGACTGACTGACACTTACCTATTTCTTTTTTTTTTAGTTTGACGTTCAAAGGGTTTATAACGGTCTAGGTAATTAAAATAAAAGCTTTGATATTTATATTAAATTATTCTAATGTTGTTATAAACTATGAATTCTTATTGTAGTTATAATAATATACTGAAAAAAATTCCATTTTAATATAGAACCACCCAAAATGTGTTGTGTAATAACTGAATAAGAACTGTTTGGCCTTATAATCGGTCTTATAATTTAATTATGTACTAGCTTCTGCCCGCGGCTTCGCCAGCGAGCTTTGTCGATAAAAAGTAATCATGTCAGTATGTCGGAGTGTATCCTATCCCTATGCCAAATTTCATCCAGATCCGTCCAGCCGTTTTGGCGTGATTGAATAACAAACAAACATCGTAACTTTCGCATTTATAATATTATATCTAAGTACTAGTAAGAAGTAAGATGACACAAGACGAAAGTGACATAAATATCACCATCAAAATAAAAACAAAAATATGAATCGTCTCTCTAAGAATGCTAATATGGTAAAATGGTAGAATAACATATAAAAATGAGCGCGAATAATGGTAAAAAACATACACAATATCTGACTACTATACAAATTGATATAGATAATCAATAGCGTGACGGTATGTAGGTACCAAACTATATAAACATTGAAATAATTATACACTCCACACGGCAATTGTTGGTATAACATACATAGGTACTATCAGCTCAAATGTTTTAATGATTTTAGCGAACACTGACGTGGACTTAACTTAGTGATAATGTAATCATTTATTTAACATTTTTGGCAACTAAAACGAATTTAAAAGCAATGTAGGTTGTATTTATTTTATCGGACAGGTTTGTGGAAACACAAACACTGTTCAGGATATATCATTATTTGTTTTAAAATTAAATTTTGGCCAGTGATGACAAAGTATCTTTATCATTATTTTATCTCTTTTAGAGATGACCATGCCTTGAGTTATACTGACCCTTAGGCATACTAGGTAAGTATGCCTTAGGACACTCCAGAGCGTCGGAGATCGAGCGACGATCAAGGGTAGTTCGCCGCCTGGCCAGACCCAGAGTCGAGTGTGCGGTGCGTAGGCAGTAAGAGTGAAACTCCCTCTCGCCATAACCTGAATGAGAGAAGTCATTTGATGATTTTTCCAAAATACTTAGTATGCTCACCAGGTTTAGGTAATCTGCATCTGATCACACCTCGAAATGGTAGGCCGAGATCTAACGTCTTATAGATCCCAAATTTAAATAATTAATGAAATTTACCTCTTCAATTAATGTTTAGGTATGCCATCGCTAGCATTAGATAAAAAGGTAGAGTTCGTACAAGCTGGTGGTCAAGGGAACCTGGTTACATACTATTACTATATTTTTACTACTTTTACTATATTTTTTATTACCAATATACTGTAGGAGAGACATGCTTCGAATTGAATGGGTCGGCTCGACCGGAGTGATAGTCGTGAAGCAACACTTGCGTTGTGTTTCGCCGTGTGAGTGAGGTTACCGGAGGCCCATCCATCTCATCCCCTAATCCATAAAAGGTCGGCAACGCACTCGTAACTCTTCCGTTGCTGGTGTCCATGGGCGGCGCTGATTGCTTAATAGCAGGTAATCCGTCTGCACGTTTGCCGATCTACCTATTATTACTTACATAAAAAATATATCCAGCTATATAAAAAAATCAACAAAGTAGATATTAAGTACCTATCTATAGATTCCTGCGTCATCGAGATGAATCCGTTGCGTGTCCATTGTTCACTTCTTAGTATGAATTTCAGAAACAAAAGCAATAATGTACCTACGTATTGATGTAATTGATGTCACTTGTTGTTTTTCAAATAACCTCCTGTTGTTTGGTGGCTGAAAACAATGTTGAGGGCATTTAATATATCTATTTGTAATGCCCTCGAGGTAGGTTCATTGGCGTTTTATATTCAGGTATATATGTAGTTAATGGGCCGGGGTTTCAGGTGTCAGTCCAATGATCCACCCAGGCCATGGCCCAGAGCAGGAGAAGAAACGGGATCGTTTCTAGCCATTAGGAGTCTGACACTCCTTCTCGCCC